TGGACAATAATGATATTGTCATTAGACATTATGGTGAAAATCCACCACAAACGGCATAAGAGTGTTTTCGTGATTTTCTGGATTTGAAGGAGAATTTGGCACTCATTAAGAGTTTACGGATTGGGCTAAATAAAAAAGATGTCCAGTTGATGAGTGATGAAATTCATTTGTTAAAGTCGATTGCGCCATATGTCTGTGAGTACGATGATATTGTTATCAATCACTACGATAATGATCCCCCGCAAACATCCTGGGATTTTCTCCAAGATTTTCTGGATTTGGAAGGAAATTATAAAATTGTTAAATTACGTCGAGAATCAAACATGGATGAGAACGAGGAACAGACGGACTCGGTTGATAATTCCTCAGCGAGGGACACCTCAGAGACCCCTCATTTTGCACAACAGGATCAAGAACCACAACAACAGCAAAAATATCTGGTGGAAGAGGCACGGGCCAGCTCTTCAAAAATAGATGCAAATACACCGGTAAAACGAACCAGAGATACTGCTCCGTCTGTGAAACGTCATCGTTGTGAAGGGAAGGGTAGACAACGTCCTCGTCCCTACGGACCCAGAANCTCAGCGAGGCACGCCTCAGACACCCCTCATTTTGCACAACAGGACCAAGAACCACAACAACAGCAAAAATATCTGGTGGAAGAGGCACGGGCCAGCTCTTCAAAAATAGATGCAAATACACCGGTAAAACGAACCAGAGATACTGCTCCGTCTGTGAAACGTCATCGTTGTGAAGGGAAGGGTAGACAACGTCCTCGTCCCTACGGACCCAGAAAATTCAAGAAAAATAAGAAATATCTTTGAAATGAAATGAAAAACATATTTACATTTGTCGTATAAAAAAACTCTTTTTATTGTAAAAGAAAAAAATATATGTATATAATCGATATGAACAATGGTCTTTTCTTTAAATCATACTCTTTACTCCTCCACTGATCGGATGATATTCTACAATACGATCATGTAAAATTAAGCAATAAGCTGCGGTTTGAGCTGGGAAATTACGGTTAGACTCGAATTCAAGACGAATATCAACTGGTTCGGACTTCAAGTACTCATTTTGTTTTGAACAATCGATGACAATAAGTGAAGCATAGGTGAGGAAATCTGTCTTACTCAGAAGTGGCTCAGTTTCTTTCCCATAGTAGGAGCTCTGAAAATTTGTATACATATCATAAAGCAAAGCGTACTGATTCTGATCGATATCAAGATTTAGATTACCATAAGGGTAACTTTGAGAATTGAGGAAAAGCTTTACATCGCGGATATTACAATGATCAAAGCGGCTGGCATTCTTATTAGCTTGATTTTTACGATTAGTTTGGAATCCCATGATGACATAGCGAGGTTTCTCCAGTTGAGTTGAGCATTTCACCACCCAAACATGTTTAGAGGTCGCTGGCAGCAGTGGGTATTCGTATGATTCCCAAGCTCGAAAACTAATGGGAATNTTTAGAGGTCGCTGGCAGCAGTGGGTATTCGTATGATTCCCAAGCTCGGAAACTAATGGGAATATTGGTGCGTCCTTAGAAATGTAGTTCAATAGACTGATTTTCTTGGAATCGGCTACTTTGATGTAGGGAATCATCCACTCCACTTTATTCAGTGAGAGTCTAAATGATTCAGCAGCAGCTTCTTCTACTGGTGCTTGGAGGACTGCATTCACGTCGGTGTTTCCTCGTGTCAGGATTAGCTCATGTTTTGCATTCACAATGATTCTAGTATAATCCTCAGCGAAGCTCAACAACATCCTCAATGGTATGGAGATGTCGAAGTAGCCACTAGCATCGAGGATTGTTCCTTCATCGTCTTTGAGGATCCAACCTGCATTCTCCAGCAGAGCAGCTTGACCGGGAGTTTGCGACACATAATTCTTCATCAGTGTCGTGATGCCGATATTTTTGTTTCTATCAATCACAACGGCATTCAGTTCATAGCGTATCTCCTCAAATAGATGGAGGATCGCACAATTCACCAATCTCGTGTGCGTAACAGCTCCTCCATCGGTTTTGGTCAAGCGTCCATGTACATGCAGTGCACTTTTACTCGGTAGCAGGCATAAGTCTTGATGCTGAACGGCAATGCGAATTTCATCATTGTTATTGAATGTTGCCGATGCAAAAGGCTGATGTGCATGAATCTCGTAATGGGCGATAGATTCATCAAAGATGATAGGCTGCTGAATTTTCAAGATCTCCTCCATGGCTTACGATGGTAGATGATGATGCAACGACAGAGAAAACTATGGATTTTCCTTCTCACACTTTTCTTTTTTTTCTTCGTTCCTTTTGGAGTTTCAGACCCAAGCTCTTAAGGAATTTTAGGTTCTGCCGTGTTAACGCTTCGAGAGATCGTTGATGACTGCTCGATACTGCTGATGATGACTCGCTCTTATAACGACCTCCAGTCTTGGTATTGAAAACAATACCCATATCAGACCCTGATGTGTAATCTTATTGTTATTATCTCTCCCCTGAAATTCACCAATTGACCTTCTTGATCAACAATCTTCACTTGGAGATGACCTATTGCCTGTACCGCTATCGGAAGGTAAATGATGTTCGATGGCACTTCAACAATCTTATATCCTGGTGGAACAGTGGGGAAGAATTCATGCACAGTGTGCACTTGTTTTTCATTGATGTATGCTCCAGTGGTGATATTACACTCAACTCTCAGTGAATTGATCTTAAGGATTGTCACTGGTGAATCAGATTCGTGACTAATATGAGGTGGGAGAATCCCACGCGTGAAGCCCAATAACTGTCCAATGGAATCTTTACGACTGAAATCCATTTGATGAGTACATTTAATAATACTTTTTAAAGTATTATTGTTGGGTTTAAGGCTGATATTTATGTTATACTCCGCAAGTTTCTCAACCAAATAATTTTCAATATCCTCGATTTCATAGCTTCCCGTGGGTATTTCAATAACTCTTTCACCCACATAAAATTTGTTATTCCCTGTGTCAATATTGGGAATGGAATTGAATGTTAATAATTCTGCCAATCCGAGAGTGTAGTTCTTCAATGGAGATAATTCAATTGGAGGAAAGTAATGAGCCTCCAGCACTGAGAAAGTGCCTGATAATGTTAGTGTACAAGAGTCACTCATCGTAGTTGATACCTGACTGATGTCTATAGAGTAATGTCATATTTTATATCATTTCTCCATTGAGGAATTTTAAACACAGATGCCCACACACCACTGTATCATAATCTTGATATCGTTTATGATTATACTTAATAATGCTACCAACACCGACATAATGTATCAAATCTTGAGGTGGATGAAGGTTACCAAAACTATCAAAATAGATGAATTCATTGTTTCGTTTCTCGTATGCAACCCAATGCGTTCCAGGTCCATCTTTATCATCAAGGTTGACAATTGCTGATTCATTTTTACGTGGACCTGATATGGGCATGTCGTTTCTCATATACACGCCACGAAAATATGGGATTCTCATGATCTTAGCGTATTTTACCAAGTCGATATCGGTGAGAGCTCGGTGTGGTAGCTTTAAACGTTTTTTAAATGAAGACCCAAGCCTTTCTTGTAGGGTTTCAAGTACAATCCTTTACCCAATGCAATGGTCGCCATTGATTGGTTATGTCGTTTATCCTCTCCTAGAGCTT